ATGTTGCAAGTCCAAATTTATGAAGAATACCCTGACCAAAGAAAAAGTTCAAATGCAGGTAATGAAGTGGTGGGTATGACTATTCGTGTTGATATATGTCCTGAGAAAGGAAACACTCAAACTGTAATAAACAAAAATAATGACACTCCTTAGCACCAAAATGTTCTGCTCAAAAGCATGCAGCTGAACAGGTTCAGATTTGACTCACACAATGGAAGATGCCACCCACACTGAGTCACCAAACCTAGTTTCCTGAGAGATGAGTTTGACTTTAAGCCACTAATGGAATGCATTCCTTGGAAACACTGAAGTATAAACTTCTAGTTTCTTTTCTTTTTCATATGTGAACCACTTAGAGAGCTTTTATATTACGTAGTTTGTAAGTATGACAAATTTAAAGAGGTATTTCTAGATGAGGCTTTTACTGTATGATTCCTTGCCTCATCCATGGAATTTTACAAATAACCAACAAGGTGACAACTTCTTGTAACCTTCCTGTGTCTTCTCAGTGTTTCTGTTCACTTTTTATTCAATCTTTTTGCCCCACCAAACAAACAAAAAATCTCATTAAAGAAGAAAAGCAGGAACAGTAGTAGCATCTTTTGATTAGTAGCACTAAGAGCCCTCTATCCAAAAGCACCTGACAAGGTGGAATTGCATGTCTAACACAAACCATGTTATGAAATATACCACTAAACCAAGGCTGTATTTACACATAATGACAAGAAATGGCAGGAATGGCTTGTCCTTATATGTGTGAATACCAGAAGCATGGTGAAACATGGAACTTTGGTTAGAGGGAATCATGGACAACCAATGATCAGTTCTAAGGTTTTCACATGTCAGAATTACTTCTCATTATGGGTGAAGCTGGATACAGTGTTTTCCCACAGTTTCCCCATTTTGGCCAGTGAGTTTGGAGGCACAGCTCTTGATTTCTCTGAACTTTCAAACCCCCTCACATTCAAGAGGGAAAAGAAATCTTCTTTTGTATCTTCTGTCTAAACAGAAATTGTATCTGTTTGGATAGTAACAAGTCCATATAGTTTGTAAAGCATATTCAGTTGATAACTGTTTTGTGTTCCTTTACAAGAACTTGTAGAGCAGAGGGGACAGCTTTCCCACTTTACAGTCTGCTCTGACAGATTTGTCCAAGGAGGCAGAGGGGCATAGCTTGGCAATTTTCAAGACAGAATGTGAAAACCAGTCTGCTTTGGAAAAGAAGAGTGACATTTCAAACCTGTGGGAGGGTGGGGAAGATATTGAGGGGGTGTTCTTTGACCCATTAAAGAAATGACAGGTTAGGTGAGTGGACCAATTAAGAAGTGTCTAACATTCCTGCTACCTAGCCTTGAAGCGGCAGGAGCCACCCTGAGAGTGGAGTCCAAAACTCTTCTGAAAGGGAGGGAATGAAGTTTGAATTCAGCTCTTCACATGAGCAGATGCTTCTCCCATAATCAAAAAGAGTGCTACATTGATTGATGCTCTAATGTAACCTATTAAGCTTTAATAAAAGGTCTATGTTTCAAGTATCTCCTGAGTCTGCTAGAGAGGAAAAGAGGGAGGGAGAGACCTGCTCAGGGCAGAAATCTCCACCTCTCTATTTTTTTTAAACACAGTGGTTTGGAAAAGTCAGCTTTAGCATAGAGGATACAATGATTTCTTAGAAAATTAAATTCTGGGAAGTGTTGTTTGCTTTCCAAGCCTCACCATCATCTAAGGCATCTTTTCTGGGAATCTGTACAGTTATAAAGAAAAAAATACCAGAGCTTTTACTGAGAGTTCTACAATTTTCAAGTCAGGGAAAGGAAGATAACCCCCAATTTGAAGCTATCATCATTCTTCTAATTTCTTCTGTATACAGATTGAGTTCATTGATCTTTCCTTGAAGCGTGCAAAAGTTACATATCTAATATAACATGAGTTATATCTAATATAACATGTTGTTAGAAATCACAAAAACTCCTGACAGCACCAAATGACCTTAACCGTATATGAAACTTCAGAGTTGATGTGAACATAATAAAGAATCAGCCTGTTTGTGAAGGGGATTGTGAACGAAAGTGAACATTGGAAATTAATATAAACAATGGCTAAATTAGACTTTTTATAGGGGAAAAGGTATCAGCAAAGTGAAAGCTGCATTAAAGACAATACACAGAAAAAATTTATTATACTTTCTAAAAACTGAAAGGCAGCAAAAGAAGCTTTAGCTACTACAGTTTTCTAGGTCTCAACTTAAGATGAACCTCCATATGTACAAACATTTAATTTAATAGGAAAAACAGTTATTTCCTCCTTCCTGCCCAGGTTCTTATGTGTCTAAACTAATTGCTTGAATCATCTGGATCTGTTCTAGAGGTTTTGGACAGAGTACTTAAACTATGAGTATCTTTGGACCTATGCCTATTATATCTGCCAAAGACTGGTCCCTTTAAACTTAATTGTCTTGCCCAAAATTATTAGTGGCTCTCTTTGGTAGAGGTTTAGGGTTTTGTAATATGCTGTGCTTTGTTGCCTTTGAGAAAGGTAACTTTGGACAAAAAAGATTTGACTAATTTTTGAATAGTGTCCAATTTGTTTGCATTAGTATTTATTGAGTCAGTGATCTATTAGTTGTTCAATATCCATTTTAATTAGATTTTGTTTTATGCATGCATTCTTTATTCTTTGTTTACCGACACTGAGCTTTCAGAAAAATAATTTATAAATGCATTTATTAATTTAATAAAATATAGTGTGGGACAGCTGCTATGAGAGCATCCCCCTCAATTTTTCTCAGAATTTTTGATACTCATTTTTTGTGACGTTAAATTATGTCATTGTCCTATCATTCTTTTCTGATGTTAGGACATGTTCAGAATAGATCATTAAAGGGACACTTATGTATCAGTTTCATGTCTGAGATTTCACTAAGCAAGGTACTTCTGTGTTCTCTCTTCCCACAACTCTCTTAACAGGGAGCGTTATTGAATTATGCTTTTAGATAGATAGATAGATAGATAGATAGATAGATAGATAGATAGATCTCCAGGAGGCATCATCATTAAATTAAAAGAGACCCAGTATGGTGCAGCGATTAACAGTGTGGGACTGGGACTTAAGAAATCTGGGTTCTAGTCCCTGTTCAGCCAAGGAGTTAATGGGGTGACTTTGGGCCAGTCAAAGACTCTTAGCTCAACCTACCTCACTGGGATGTTGTGAGAATAAGACTGACAGAAGGAGGAAGAGAATTATGTAAGCTGCCTTCAGTTCTTTGGAAAGAAAACATGGTGGAATAGATATATAACGAATAAATAAATGCATAGTAGCATTAGGTAGCTCACCAGATAGTCAAAACATCATTGACTTCTCTCTCCCCGAAACTCTCTACATTTCCCTCCAAAGAGATCATATCAGATAATATCCTTCATATGATAAAACTGGCCAGCTAAGACTGTTTTTGTGATACAAAAGTACTAATATAAAGGTCATTACATTGGGCCATTTATTGAGTTAAAGCCCTCTTATTGTGTAGTTAGTTCTTCCCCTTACTAGGAGTTGATTCCAAACTGAATTCCCCACCTCCCCTTCCCACCAGAGATTCAGGCAGCTTTGTGCTGCTTGTGGGCCAGATAGTGGGAACACTGGACATTACTTATTTGATCCACTTGTTTGACATCAGACCACAGAACTGGGAAAGTCCCACCTCTCCTCCTACAGGTTGCTGACGGGGCGTTATGCTGACATGACTCCAGTCCTCCGTCAGCTTCACTGGCTTCCCACTGAAGCCCAGGCCCAATTCAAGGTGTTGATTATGACCTATAAAGCCCTAAACGGCTTGGGTCCTGGCTACCTGAACGAGCGCTTACGTCCGTATATGCCCGACCGCCCTTTGAGATCTGCGGGAGAGTCCCTTCTCCGGGAACCCTCCATGAAAGAAATTAGGAAAGTAAGTACTCGGAGGAGGGCTTTCTCTGCGGTGGCGCCCAACCTATGGAATTCACTCCCCAAAGAGGTCCGCCTGGCACCGTCGTTACTGGTTTTTCGGCGCCAGGTAAAGACCTTTTTATTTAAACATTATTTTAATTGTTAAAATATATGATCTGGCCAGGGCAACTTCTTCTTCCTTCTCTTTTCTCCTCCTATATTATTTATTTACTTATTTTATACTGTTATTTTTAATTTTATATTATTATGTTTGAAACTCAGTGTATTTTTTGTATTTTTGTATTTAATGGTAATTTATTATGTTCTATTGTATTTCAATGTATTTTATTGTGTTGTAAGCCGCCCCGAGGCTTCGGCAAGGGGCGGCATAGAAATGTAATAATAATAATATTAATAATAATAATAATAATAATAATAATAATAATAATACCTGTTCTAAAGGGTCTCCTCACAAACCAGAGGCAGTCTGGTTCTCCTCAGGTTCATGAACAAGTGCTCCACTTCCCTTTGCCAATGAACAAAAAGCTTCATACCAAACAGGCTTTACGCAGAAGCATCAGACACTTCCCCTTTCTTGGTTTACAATATAGTCATCCCAACATTCCTAGATAACTCTTCAAATATTTTAACTTTACATGACAGAACAGCATATATTTCATAAAATGCCACCTTGTAAATAATATTTAGTATTGTATCAAGTTAAAATTTGGCCATAACACTTGCTATAATGTATGATGTGTGGCATAATTTGGAAGGGACAGGGACAGGACACAGTGAATAGAAGTACACGTATTCACTATCACCATATCCTGCAATAACATTAGTATACATCCCAGGTAGGCACTGAAGCATTGTTCTTTCAACTATAGTTAGTGAAGCCAAAAAGAACAAGTGTGCATGCATGCAGGAATGAAACACTGATGTGATATTTTTTCCAAGAAATTACAATGATCAATTACAGCAGTTAATCAATGTTCATTTTCTTCAGCATGGCACAACAAAAGACAAAACCCAACAGATAAAACCAAGCAGGTCCTGGCATTTGTGAGGAATTAAGTTACAAACTGTACCTTTTCAACAGGTAGAAAATCATTATCTACTTCTATGGACCTTGGACGTAGTTTTATAGGTTTGTCCTTGAAAATGTCACCGAACCCAACCCCCTTAATCTTTTTGGGTTGGATTGTTGCTGCTCCATTGGCTCCTTCTGATTTCGTGCTGCTGGAATCACCACCATCGCTTTCAGAACCTGTAGCATCTCTTAAACCTGCCAGAAGAAAATGAGAGGAAGAAATTACCTTTATAATAGTAAGGTACAGAGAGCAAATATACACATTATGTACAAGATTCATATAGCATATCTAATTATTTCATTCTGAAAAATTCTGGTGAAAAATTCTATACTGGGAATCTGAAAAATCACATTGTTCCCTCAACATCAGAATCAAGTGTATCAAGGTTATGGAGAATGGATAAGGGGAAGCAGGTGTTCCATTAAAAAAACCTAAATTAAATTATATTCCAAGACCCTTACATTGCTGAAATATGAGGATTCTGTTTTAATTCTAATCTTGACTACTTCTGAAGTTACATTCCTAGAACAATACCATAAGTATTTCAGATAGCAGAAATTACTAAAAGGAATGAGTGTCTATTTGCACATTTATAATTATTCATTCAAGCTGATTTGTATGTCCAAAGACGGACTTTCAAAAGTTTGTTGTACAGAGCAATTAATTTTTCTAACAGATTCCAACTAATCTCTAGTCTATGATATTAATTTAATTTTATGACTTTTCAGTCATCTGTACTGTTTGAATAAAAGAAACCATTGCAAAATCTGTGTGATGCATTTACTGAGCATTACTTTTCACTTCTGGGCAATGTCAGGATGACTCCATACATAGAGCTAAAAGTTATCTAGGAGAGAGGCAAATTTGCATTAAGAAATATTCTTTTTATATGGAAAAAACTAGTATATTTTTCTATGGAAAATGTCATAACTTCCCCTGAATGCCCTTCTATTTATCTGTGAAAACACAGAAATTAATGGCAACCTGACGTACTTATTTAACTGTCCAACTGTAAGCGTACGGGGTAAGTTTCATCTTTTATTGAAAAGCCATGACCTATGGTCAGACCAACAAAAGCTTTACTTAGAAAGCTCATGAAGTTTGCAGGGCCCTTATGACTCGCTCTGTTTCTATGTTTCTATGCAGGCTAAATTGTAACTTATTATCATGAACACCCATGTACTTCACTTCCATTTGAATCAATACACTTAATTAATCACCTTTTATATTTAGGACAGTTTTATTGCACTTTAAAAGTTAGTTTGCATTTTATTTCATTCAAAATATTTACCTTTGTCATTCCTTAAACCTTAAACAGTGGCCTTTCCAAAATAACTCAGACACAAAATTAAGAATATAAAGAATAACACAATTAAAACCAACAACTAAAATTAAACATCAAGCCACTAACAATTCTATAATTATATCTATTCAAAACCTAGGGAGAAGAGTTAAGATTAGAGAAAATACTTTTTAATAATTATTCATTAATAACCAGGAAATCAATGAAACGCTATCAGCTTTCATACCAATCCTGCTGAAATGGTGCTTCTAATTAATACAAATATATTGAGCTTTGTATATGTATGATTCACAGCAAGTCAGTTATACAATCAAAATGTTGCATTATTTAAGAGAGAAGTAGAAAGCTAAGTTGTAGTCAATCAAATAAGCAGTCAAATGCACTGTGTAATATTCTCTCTGCCAACACATTTAATTACATTCCTCTCTGAGGCAATCTTGTTATAAAGGCACACAGGAATAAAATAAATCAAGACAGAAAACCTGACTGGCTTTATTAGTCTCTGTAAAAAAAGACTAGTAAATAACTTATAATAAAGGTAGAGCTGTCTTTCCTACAAATAACTGAGTAGTCTATGGCTACCTTTTCTGGTATGGCTGCACATCAAATATTCCTCTGAGCAAGCCAATTCAAGGTATGTCAAATCTTTTTATTTTGCTCCAAAAGATTCTTTACCTCTATTATGTTTCTGGTGGGGAAAAATGTTTCTGTTCTCTTTCTGAGTAAAGAAAGTAGTTTCACCTGAGTTCTAATTTGGGTCAGTGCTTTTCACACTTTTTACCATGTCTCCAGGGTGATTGCCAAAATGGTCCTGCCTTGTGACATTCTTCTTTCCCTTCATTCCAGAGGAAACCATAACAGCAGCAAAGTGAATTCTGATCCCATGAAAACAAAACTTACCGTATTTTTCGCTCTATAAGACGCACTTCCCCCCCCCTCAAAAGTAAGGGGAAATGCCTGTGCGTCCTATAGACCGAATGTGTGTGTGCCCGACGCCCGGGACGCTGCTGACTCCTGTGATTAACAGCTCTCGCCTGCACCACGTGGCACCACCTGGCCAGCATGCGCTCGGCACGCGCTGCTCCACTCCCCCCCCCAGCGCAGGTGAGAGCTGTGCCGCTCAGGGGGAGCGGTGCGGAGGAGGAGGAGCCGCGGGCTTTAACCCACCGGCTGCATGGAGAGACGGACTGTTCATCCCCACCGCCTGGGAAGACCTGCTGCTGCGCCGCCCGGAAAACCACTGCCGGCACGCTGCTGGCCTGGCTGCACCACACCTGGCTGGCACACGCTCGGCGCGCCCTGCTCTGCCCCCCTCCTCTGGCGCAGGTGAGAGCTGTTAATCACAGGTCGGTGTGTGTTTTCAAATGGCAACCCGTCTTTTAATGAAGCCCATGGGGAAGTGATGGGGAATGTGCCAGTGATTATTAGGAAGCTTTCCATGGATCCCTCCTCTAAAAACTAGGTGCGTCTTATGGTCAGGTGCGTCTTATAGAGCGAAAAATACTAAGTACCACTGCTCAGACATTTGGAGTGTCATTGGTTATGGACTTATCACTAGGCTATTGCTTTGGAATATTATTTGTCCTTTTTGTGAAGTACAACAGATTAGACTCTGGCTGCAATAAAACAGGAACATACCTTCTGCCTCTAAGGATTTAGGTATTTAAGCTCTTTGTTGCCAATAGTGAATTGCTGTTCTAGTAGGAAGAAGGAAAGAAATATAGATGGAACTATCTGGCTAGAATTGTTTTTTGGTGAAGCATTTTAGCTGAATTATTGCAAATAAGGTTAAAGCAAAATTTATATTTTGAGCTTGCAAGATTAGATTTTCATTAGATTTATTATTTTGTTGGTTTTATGGTTTAACCCTGTTTCATTTAGGAATTATAGATATATATCTTAGTTTTTATTCTTATTAAAGATGATTAGTGTTTTCCTATTAATCAAGGATGTGCATTTTAGTAATTTTAGTGTTTTATTTCACGTGCTGCATAAAGTCTGAGAAAACACATTAAATGCCCCCTTTTCAATATCACTGTATTTCAACTGATCATCCTTTTTCTCCTTCATATTCAAAACAAAAAGAAATTGAATTATCCTGAAAAAATATTCAGAAGAAATAGTTATTCCAGTTTCAATTCAGCTCCTATATTAAATCTAAATAAATTCTTTCCGAAAAGTTAAATTTGGATAATTGTATGCCAGCATAATGTAGGGCGAAGGAATAACATGTTGATAAACTATAGCTTAGTACTTTTTGCTGAGTATCATCTCCTAGTTTCAAAGTTTTGCCAAAGAAAATACTACTACAAATGGAAATCAAATAGCCATCCTAATCAAATCTGATTACTGTGATAACCAAACTGGAAAGGAAAATAGGAGTCAGATAAATAATAGATTAGGAAGATTCAAGAGGAATAGCAGCAGTCTTACCATAATTATACACATATTAAATTAGGAAATGGGGGAATAATGATATAGTCCTCCCATTTAAAAATGTAATTTCAGATAGTTACTCCTGGAATGGTAATTAACATACCTGGAGTTCAAAATTGCTTGCTTTAACTAATCTGAATTTTAGATTAAATTTGAGATACAATCAAATAGGCATTAATTAATAATCTAAAAATACAGAATGATATGCTGAAAAATAATGAAAAAAGTTTTCATCAACTGAGAAAGCTCAAAACCTTCTCTGTTCTGTTACTTTGACACTTTGCTCATTTGGCACTAAAGGCTACCCGTAATTGCATGTTGTCAGGAAAAAGTGTCTGTCTTTGCTTATTTGTGCCAGAATGCTATGTGTAAACTAGTACCTGCAACACCATCATCCAGGGTCTAAAGTTGACATGGAGGGCAATAACATACCCCCACTGTCAGGTCCCTCCCCGTCAAAACCGCTTAGTTTCACCCTGACTGCCTCTACCAGAGCCCCATCCCCTATTTCATTGCATCCTATTCCTTCCCTGACATATAAAACTATGCCCCTCCCCTCTTTCCCTTCTTGTCCTTTCTATGTTTACTTTCCAGTCTTGCCTTTCATCCCACCAAGTTTCTGTGATGCCCACCAGGTCATACCCTCCTATTCCCAGGAGAGCCTCAAGCTCTTCCTGCTTATTACCCATGCTCCATGCACCTCAACTCCTTCCCACAGATCCCTTTCTTTGGGATCCTTGGCCTCCTCCTTCCTCCCATCTTCCCTGATACCGGCCTCCTCTTTGTAGGAGTCCTGTCAGCTCCTGCAGTATCTCTAACACCCTGGTCCCAAAACCCTGATCCTCTCCCCTCACTCGCCCAATCAGGTCAAGTTTCTGGGAGGCCTGACCCCCCACCCAGCTCAGTTTAAAGACTTCTGGATGAAGCTCATTAGAAGTTCACTGGCAAGAAACTGGGTGCCTTCAGAGGCCACTGGCCCTGCCCCCCTTCTTCCCCCTGGGCTTCTCTGGCCTTTCTGGCCCTGCCTCCCTTCCTCTCCACTCCTCCTGTCCTCCTGCTCTACCCAGATCCTACCTTGCCTTTGCCGGTTCCCTGGTCACCCTCTCCCAGCCTCTGTTGCTCCACTGCTCTGCCAAGAGCCAAATGAAGTAGGTCTTCCTTCTTTAAAAGCATACATGAATAAAATCATAAATTTATATTGGAAAAACTTTTATTAATGTTAGAACAAGATCTGGAAAAGCTATGCTTTTTAGATCTGCAGAATGTAAAAGCTGATGCTCATTATTGTTTGATGTTGGGTCAATTTCCCCTGTAATGTCATCTCAAAGATGCCCTGATCATAAGAGCCATTATTTTTTAAAAATCAAAATTAAATCCAGTCATAAAAAGATAGCTTCTATGGGGGGATTATTCCTGCCATTCAAACTGCATTTACTCAGATTATATTTCATACTA